GCATCCACAATATAAGAGAGCTAACAAGAGATGGTAAAAATGCAAAATGCCATTAAATTTTGGTCATTTTAAAATATTGCTACTACACTCATGATAAAGTTTATTCAGTGTTGGTTGGTTGCTTTTGATATAGAGAGCTTCGAGAATTTGAAATTTTTGTTTATTATTTTCATGGTGTAATATATTGGTGTGTATATATATATATATATATATATATATATATATAAATTTGGTGTACTGTTTTTCTTCTAAAATAGTTTTTTCTAATTCTCTTATATTTAGGAGGTGTTGAAAAGATCTCAACCAAGTGACTTCCCAAAGTTCTGTATTCTGATGTTTATCATTAAAATACTAATTTTTGGGAATTGGATCATGCCAAGAACTTTATATATATATATATATATATATATATATATATATATATATATATATATATATATATATATATATACAATTTCTTACTGTATATCCCAAAAAGGAATCACTTGTACAAAGGCAAAAAAGATATAGCAAAAAGCTTAATCACAGTGCCTTGTCAGTCATCTTCAATGAAACCTGTATAAAAGAGGGATTGTTGCCCAAATACACACATATATATATATATATATATATATATATATATTTCCAGCAATTTGAATGACTATAAATTGTTTCTTTGTTATCTCAAGTAAATAAATCTAAATTTTATTTTTCGTCCAAAGATAAAACAAATATTTTATTTCTAAAAACTGTTTTTTAGAAAGACCTGTGGTTTCTTTCTACTTACTCTTCCTATTGTTGCATTCATATAATTTGTTCCATGAAAAATTCCTTGATAAGAAATCACAATACATTGCCAGTGTTTAATGATCTAATAAAATAGATTAAAACTCTGTGAGAAATTTTAATAAAACTGGGCAATTCTCTTTCTCAACCTTTTTAACCTTGAATGTAAAGAGCAGTCTTTAATTTGAAATTGTTTTATCTAAGGTTAAAAAGAATAAAAGGTCAAAGGTAATTTTGTAGCATTAGTATACTAAATTATATAATTTTTAGCATTTCCTTTTTTCTTTTTTTAAAAGTTCTAACACTGCTGGCTACTTATATAGAACTTTCAATTTTCAAATGATTTCTTGATAATCTGTATCTGTAACATTAGGTATTAATGGAAATGTCAATATTTTTGATGAGGGTAGACTCTTTGATACAAAAATGAAATTTCAGAACAGGTTATTTTTATTTTTAAATACTGTACTTTATCCTGTATGTAATAATTTGGCAAGAAATATATATTTTGAGTATAATTGTTTTTGTTTTTAACATTTGATACATAATTATAATTTAATTATTAATAATCAGATATATTAAATTCTGGGATCATCAGAAAAGTATTGTTAAACAGGGATTTTTATATTTGAACATTTTCATTTGCAATAAGCAAGTCTTAAAATAATGTATCTTTATCTCCATGTAAGTTAAAACAGATCTGGGGGTCATAACAACACTATGGGATAGAGCAGGTTTTTGGCTACAAAATACTATTTTCACACTTAGTCACTACTGTTGACTATATATTTTCAGTAGTGATGAACAAGAGATTTTCATTTCATTGGTCTTACAATTTGCTATGCAGGGACACCCAAAAGATGGATTATCATACATATCACTGTCAATATTTCTTAAATGCTTTACCCACTGCTTAACTGGGCTCACATCCACTGTAAATGTTAACAAGTGTTTGATGAATGTCAATAGATGCAATGTTTTCTGCATGAAAAATTCAATGATACATCTCTGCTTTGTACATATTTTCATGACAGATTGCATTTTGCCAGACTACTATTCAGCTGCTGTCTGTAACAAAGCAAAAAAAATTCCTCTATGGTCATACCACTGATATTACCTTTAACATAAATTGGGATGCATTTCTTTCAGAGTACTTATATATATCTCATTAAAAAGTTCAGTAATAATTTATTTCAGACAGACAAGTGTCTCATCAGACTGGAGTTATAAAATAAATTATTACCAAACTCTTTAATGATGTATTGAGTTTTTCCTTTGATGTCTATCATATTGCTCTGTATTTTTATACATTGAGCTCTCTTCATGGATCTATCTTTTTAATATTTTATATTAAAAAGACCTATTTGGATTATCCTTACCAAATCTATCATATATATGTGTGTGTTTGTGCACAATTTTCAAAATAAGTGTTTTATCAGCAGTATGAATGTACTGTACATAATCTTTGGGTTGGAACTCTCTAGTCTGAACTCTCACTTGCATATGAACATGCAGATGTTGAATTCTATCCTGTGTTACATTATCCTATGCCTCTTGCAACTTTTCATGCAGTACAATAAGAGTTGTAGGTAGGCTAACTGAATGGAGTACAAGTCTAGTGATCATGCCAACCAGAGTTGCTGAAAATCTTGCAGAGCATGTGGAGTAATACAGGCATCATGTTGGCAGGTGCTATTCTACTGAAACAATACATCACTTTCCTGTTTTAGGAACATCAGCAGTGATGTACATGTTACTATTCAGTGTTTCTTCCACAAACAAAAAAAAAAGTGTGTGAAAGTTGTATCTTATGACACCCCTTATTGTAATGCCAGAGGTTTGACTGATACAATCTAGAAAGGTTTTTCTTCTACACTGCAATCTCACACAAATAATCATTTTCATTAAATGAGGATCATTGCAATTTTATTTTCTGTCAGTGTGTATATGTGTTTATGTAGATATTACAAGTGTTAGGCAAAATTTTATGGCAAACCACTTGTAGTGAATTTCCATAGTAAACAAAAAACGTATTTTTCACTATATAAAATCTGTCTAGAAAGTATCACACCATTTAATATTTATAACAAAAAATAACGTATCTGGTACATTTAATTTTCATGGAAATATGGATGCAAAGAATATCATGATGACATTTACAAACATCAGCCCCACAGGAGAGCAATGAGACTTTGGGACCAACCAGAAACCAGCTTGGTGGTGGGGGTTGATACTGTCCAGTGAAAAACAAAATTAGCAGGCCCTCTTCATATGTTGTCAGATGAGATTTCCAGCAAAACAATCATGCCTACACATGTGTGCAGGTTCAGAGAAACACAGTCAGGAAACATTACAAGAACCACCACAATCTAGATGCCAGGTATATAGGCATCATAGCAATTCAATGTGTTGACTATTTTACACACACACACACACACACACACACACAGAGTGAGACTAAGACTGCTGGTAGGAACACCCCACAAACTGAAGACAGTCTTAGATTGCTAATGCAAAATGCTCCAGTACATAATGATTGGGACATGATTCAACTGGGGAGCAGCAGCAGTAAAGAACATTAACCACTTCAAAACCTCATTAAAGTCTTGAAAATTATATTTGAGTCATGACACCTTAGTTCCAGTTGAGATCTCATATACTTATTCTATTATCCATTTCACTTTTTAACAGCTGCCTTAATCACATTCTCAGTCCCTTTCAGTGATGAGTTTAGCTTTCATAAAAGCCATAAGTCATAGCCAAGCTATATTTGTACTGTAGGGACTGGAGGATCATATCTGGATAATGTTTTCCAAAAAAAAAAAAAAAAGGAAAAAGAAATCTCTGCACATGACGTGCAGAACGAGCATCTACATTTTACAATGAATGCAATATTCACACATTATGCAAGCTCACTCAGTGGCATTTCACTGTTGACTGAGACACTCTGGGAGAACATTTATTCAGTAAGGTCTTTCAGAATTGCTTTCTGACTTATATCAAGACTTCTCTCACCTGTGGAACTCTCTTCCAGTTTCTTGCTTTCCTGCCACCTACAATCTTCAAAAATTTAAATGTATTGCCAATCGCCATCATCTGTCTTCCTGAATCCTCTTCTTTTTTTTTTTTTTATTTTTTTTATTTTTTTCTTTTCTTTTTTTTTTTTTTTTTTTTTTTTTTTTTTTTTTTTTTTTTTATTATTTCTCCTTACTAAAGTCTTATTCTCTTTCATTCTCAGTAACCCCTTACATCTTAGTGGCATCAATTCTTGCTTCTTGGTGAGGGGATCATTTATAAAATATGGTGGGATATTTTCTTATGATATATATTAATGCTTAAATATTGAAACATAAAAACTTGTTATTGCATATTTTCTGTAATCATAGCAGAAAAAACTGGTGCTTCTAACAAAATGGCAAGTTTTTAAATTTTCAAAGTTTGGAATTCAACATTCCCAAAATATTTTCACCTTTGGATTTGAGGCTTATTAAGTCAGCTTGCTCATTTCAAGTTTGAAATTAATTTTAGATATACACCGAGTTTTGATATTAAATTTTATTATGCCATTGAACTTTGTAATTTGGATTATTTATACCTTAGGCAATTACAAATAAACAATTAAAACATGCTTCAAAATAAACATGATTTAAACTTCTTCATTCTTTAATAATTTATTTAAATGTTAACCTAATTTATAAATGGTATGAACAAATTATTTTTTCTGCACTTGAGATTATATGCACCTCTGCTTTATACCCTTGACCTAAATGAACAATTCATCGAACCAGCTGTTTAAAATCAAACTATTACATGAGAACAGAAACTTGGTTGATCAAAATTATAATGAATGGCCATCAGTGTAATTACACCGGTGCAATATTTTTGCACTTTCTTGGATAACTAGCAAAACTTCAAGATACAGTGGGTAACTGAAAGCCAGGTGGATTTTGAGCTTAACTTCTCTGTAGTTAAAAGGTAACATAAACTTAATTGGTTGATCATTATGAATTTGATTGCATGTCTAGGGAAATTGTTTATCTACTTAAGTGCATTAATTTCCATTATTGGAGTGGGACATGAAGTGTGTTTGTTTTTCAAGATTAAGAAACATTGGTTTTGTTGATCAGTGTTTGTTCTGGTACCATTTGGGCAATATCTAATAATACATGCGCTCCTGAAAACTTGGTAAATTGCATGGAAAAGAAATACACACATTGAGTGTACATTTTCCAAGAATGTTCTCCCTCTCAACTGAATTTGGACTAAAATTTCTGAAAAATTTCTTTTATTCCTTCCTTTCTTTCTTTTATTCCTTCCTTTCCTTCTTTTATTCCTTCCTTTCCTTCCTTTCTTTCTTTTATTCCTTCCTTTCCTCCCCCCTTTTCCTTTCCCCTCTTTACCCCCCCCTCTTCTACCCCCCCCCCCTCTTTTCCTTAATCAAATGGATATTTGGAATTGCTCTGAGAGGAAAATCCAAAATTGTTTTTTTTTTTTTTTTTTTTCATGCAACTCCTCACTCTTGAAAATTTTCAATTATTAAATGATAACTTGTTTAAAAGTATCAAAACTATTTGGATAGTTGTATTGATAACTGAAATAAGAAAACTTTTAATAAACTGGTCCTCAAGAAGAAGCCACCTTCTTTAGAGAACAGCAAATTGGATAATAAGATTCTGATTTAATTCAACTTTCAACAAATTTCACTTCAGATATGATAAAATAAAAAGGTGTGGTAAAGATCTCTATTTTCTTAAAAACATTGGATGAACATTTTAAAATATTTAAACAATTTTTTTTTTAATTTTTTTTTCAAATAATTGTAAAAAAAAAATCTATTCTTTCCAAAAAGAAAGGAATGAGCTTTTAATTCCCCCCCCCAAAAAAAACAACAGATTTTTGCCCCTCCCTACCTCACTTTTTTCTACACTAGACTGTTTTCATTGGCATTTTGGTTGAAAAATCGCTGACTCACTCACTGACCATGTGGCTGGCTGAGGAACCAGATATTGTCACAAGCAAATAAAATCTCCTCTGCGAACTCTAAATAATTACGACCGACCCACTAGAGAGAGTTGGTACCGCTTGAAAAGAGATGTTCCAAATTACCGAGGACTACATTTTCAAACTACCTCTCCTACATCCATTGTACACAGAAAAAAAACAAACAAAACCATTGATGACAACTCACGAATTTCTAAACAACAACCACCCATGGTATCGTGTACTGACTATTGGAAGCTTTGCGCCGATTTTGCTCTCTCTTAGAGGGTCAGTAGCCATCATCCTCAAAAAGTAACCTCGGAGTTGTTGTTCTTGTAGTAGTAGCTGTCGTTCCTGGTGGACGGCTACACAACAAAAATAATAATAATAGCCGTCATCATGCTAATGCTCTGTAAGCTTGTAACTGTTTTTATTAATTATCTACATTTTCTTGTTCTTTCTTTTTCTGTTATTTGAGAGTTATTTTTTACCATAATTTTTAACATTTGCTGATTCTGTTTATCCGTAAATATTTCTGTTTATATGCTTTGTAAGTCGTAGAAGTAGATTTGTTTAATTTTGATTTGACCATGGACAAAATCGACACTTGGATCCTGTATGTATCGAAACCTTTCTATTTATTTGTTTTAAAAAATAAAGCGATAAATCATTTTTAACACAAAAGAAAAAAAGAAACTGTTCTATTCATTTCAATAATTTCGGTTTGTTTGCCTGATAGAAAAAAAAATGCGCAATTTAAAAAAAAAAAAAAATTAAAATAAAACAACTTAGATTTCTTTGTAAAGTAAGGAAGTTGTAGCCAACAATTTGTATCAGTTGTCATTGTTTATTCATTTTTTTTAAATGAAGTAAAAGCTTTCAGATTACAAATATATTTTTAAAAAAGGTTTTGTTATTTATATAAGAACATAAGTATATTTCTTCTCTAAAACTACGTAATTTTAGTTTATATATGAAAATGAAATTATTTTCTTGTAAGTGATTTTTTTTTTTTTTTTTTTTTTACAGCTGTTTTGAAATTTTGACATTTCCGTCTTTTTTTTATTTTAAAAGGAAGGGTGTGTTTTTTTTTTCTTCTTTTTATTGCTGATATAAATCACAACTTAAACAAAGAATCTTTAACAATTTTTTGCTTTAATTTTTTATTTTGCAAAAGAGAATTTGAAATCGTTCGAAGAAGTTTTTTTTTATCTGTAGTACGGTTTATGATAAGGGAGAAAAAGGCGGTTTAATAAGTTTTTTTTTTTTACTAATACATAAAAATGCAACACTTTTTTTGTTTTAGCTCGCTTTTCATTATTTTCACTTATTAAAATTCGTATTTTTCTTCTCCCCCCCTTTTTTTTTTTTTTTTTTTTTTAAGGAAAAAAAACAGAATATTTTTTTGCTTAGTGTTTGTTTTTTTTCTTTTTCTTTTTTTTAAGTGTTATAAATTCTAAAATAGTTTAACAAACCAATAATCTCTTTACAAACCATGCAAGTATCTTTAATTTTCAGATAGGATTTTTAAAAAGAAAAATACCGCCAACAAGAAAGAAAGTACTTAAAGAAAAGATCAAAGAATTTTTGAAAAATAAATTAAATTTAAATAAAATTAAACCCCCAAAGTTTCAGTGTTCAAAACTGTTCATAAATATAAAGTTTTTCTACACGTTAACTTATTCATTGTGAAGACAAGATTTTTTGGGGCAGGGGGTATCAACATAACAGTGTAGGTAGACTTTAAAAATGTCACTCTTTCAAATGAATGAAGCATTTTTTTTTTTTTTTTTTCTTTCGGCATGTCTCATTGTGATTTTGAACTGGGCCTAACTTAGCCCGAAACTGTTTACAATCATTCAAAACATCACTATTGCATTAGTTAGTGTAAAATTAATTAATAACAAACAATTATTGATGTTATTGTTATTTATTTCTTCTTGAATTTTGAAGTAGCTCAACGTGGGCTATGGTGAATAAACTTAAAAAGTGTGTAGCAAGTTCGAACTCCACTTGGTACAAAAGCTTCAAACAAAAAGTAAAACTAATTATAACTGATTTAAAAAATCAAAATCTTTGTCACTTTATTAATGCCGGCAAAGATAAAAAGAAAATGTGAAGAGTCTCGGGAATTCAAAAAACTTGACGGTTGGTAAACGTTTGAAGAACACATGGACACTTTTTTTTTTTTTTAAAAAGGAAGTTGCGGCGTTGTTGTTTTTTTTTTTTTTTTTTTTTTTTTAAATGAATTGGCAAAAGTCCGAACAGAGTTCAAATTACGGTCGAGATAGTTTGTATTACTATTCACACGGGTACCCTTGGGGAATAAATAGTTCAGGTCAGAAATTACTCCTCTGACACGTACTTGAGGTGAAATGGCCCACCGCCTATTGCTCTAAAAAAAAAAAAAAAAATGAGATGTCCTTAAAAAGTAAAAACCATCTTATGTTTTTTTTTTTTTTTTAGGGATCTTATTTTTTACCAGACAAAAACTGATTGCTTTTAAAATCTTCAATGCACCCTCAGAGTGTAATAAAAAAATTGTTGCATTAAAAAAAAAATGTAACGTTTGCATTTAATTTAATAATTTATAAAAGAAAATAATTTTTTTTTTCACGCTCCAAAACACATTGTGCATTTATTTCATAAATTTATAGCAATGTTATTTTATTTTTTAAATTATTATTGAGACCTCGGTTTGAACTGTGAATAAATAAGTTAAAAACTTTCACTGAAAAATTAAAAATTTACAAAAAAATAAATCTAAAAACATTTAAATTAATTTGAAGAATCACGTTTCCAAAAAAAGTATTTCTAGAGAAAAAATATGTTGTGTATATGTTCTGTGGTAAAAATTTTTTTCCTGTTACTAAGTTACTTAAATATTTGAGTACACTAGTTATTTGATTTTTGTCTTGTGAAATTTTGTGAGAGAAATTAACTAACTTATCTACATGATCTTTCTTAAAAATGTAAGTTTATTAAAAAAAAATAATAATAAACTTAAATAAAAATGACACCAGTTCAAGAGAAATGTCATTAAGTCTAACTTCTTTAAGACAATGGTAAACATCTTCACCATCCTATGAATAATTTTTGTACCTTAAAGTCTAAAGATTTTAGACTCTAGAGTACACAGACAACTCACCATTACCTTAATTTGAAGTTTCTTTCTTTCTTTTAGTATTTAGGACTTGAATAACCTGTTGCTTTTTAGGCTTTTTATATATTTCACAAATATTTTTTTTACCTTTCAAGTAAGTTAAACTTATTTTTTCCATTTGGCATTTAACTCGGACCTTTTACTCTCATACACAGATTTCCCTGTTTTATTTTAAAAGTTAACCAGCTTTTTATTCAATTACTATTATGAATCTGAAATTTTTTGTTTTAATTCTTTCATATCCCATTGTTTACAACAAGAACTATACAAAAATGGTGTTTAGAAAATAACGCCAATGCATTTAAATTAAAAATATACTGGTGCTATTTTCTAAACAAATATTAAATTCTAAAAAAAAATTGTTAAAAAAAAAAAACTATAATAGGAATCTAGCCAAGTTAGTGAAATGTTCAAAGGCTTAATTTTTAATGTATTTTTTAATGACTCTCTAAAAACAAAAAAATCAGTTTTAAAATTTTACAGAAACTGTCATATAATGACAGGATCCTAATAAAGTGTAATTTATTCATATGGCTACATCACACAAACAAATGTGACACAAGGTTGAGTCATACATGTGTTTTCAGAAAGATTGCTTAAGCCTTTGCTGTACTTCTACTTTTGGGGATGCTTTATGTACAGGGCGATGACCCTAGACCCCTCTTGAAAAAGAGGTACTATGTGGAGGAATGTCTCTGGAGGTGGGTGAGGTGCTCAAGCCTCCATTGAGCCAGGTTGAACTTGAGTTTTACTCTCCAACGTACTCTCCCCCCACTAAATTCATACAAGATTAAGTATATCTAATTCTGAATATTATTCATTTTTAAACTAAAGACGGAAGTATTTTTTATTTTTTGTCTTGCCAATTTGTTTGTTTACCTCTGACACTTCCAATGACTGTTGTGATTATTCAAATATAATGATGCAGAAATTAAAAGATTTACTACTTAGAAAGCCTTCAATTTGTATAAATTTAAATAATTTGATAATTGTTGCCAAGTTGAAGACTACTGTTTGAATTTTAGATGAAATGAGAAAATTTTACTTGTTTAAACAATGTGTTCATTTATTTTTTTAAAAAACTAACAGAATGTAACTATTGTATAAACAGTACTTTTGTTGTGATAAATTTGGCTTTCAATCACTTTCAGTATTAGGTAAATATTTGGCCAAATTCTTTAAATAAAGAATTTCTGAAATACTATATTGATACATGATATAAGTAAAAATTGAACTGTAAACATGAACCTGACCTGGCATTGCGGCTTCTGTCACTTTCCCATTGCCATAATGTAGCTTCCTTGTGCCTTTTCTATAAATGTCTTCATAACAATTGTTTTAATGAGCCTTCCTCTTTTGGTATCTTGACCTCATGAATTTAAATGTACTACTAGATAGGTAACTAAGTTTCATTATTTTACTGTTGAAATAATAATATGTAACTAATAACAATAATTCCTTTGTGCAAACTTCTTGTCTGTGGAAATCTCTTTTGGTTTCTTGCTTTGCTGTCAAATACAATATTCAAATATTTAAGCGCAACATCAATTGCTATCTTCTGTCTTCCTAAAGCCTGTTCTTTTATTATTGTCCTTTCTTTTCACTAATGCTTTCTCATTTTTTTTCATCATCGTTAACCTTTTGTATCTTAGTGGCATTATTACTATTTCTTAGGATAAAATTTTTTTAAACAAAAAAAAAAAAAAAAAGGCAAGTCTCTGATAATTTCTGCAATTTTTTTGTATAATTTTTAAATGTCCATGATAGTAAATAATTGTAATATTATGATATCAGTTTGAGTTTCTGGGATAAGGAGGAGCTATCATTATTTATGGTCAGACTAATGTCTTCTTATTTGTTATTATCACAATGTTTAATCAATAGAATGTGATTAAATAAAGGGTTCAGTTTGAAATTCCCTAAAGTTTACCCAGATCAACAGATACTTGAAGAAAACCAGAAATCTGGCTGATTTGTCAAGGAGGTAACTTTGATAATATCTTCCCGAGGAGACAATCCTGGTATGTGGTACTGTGGAAAGTTCCTGAAAATAACAAGCCTTGTGAGTGAAATTAGGTAGATGAAACTGTTCAGAAGCAAGAATGCAAGTTGTGCTAGTATGAAATCACACATCATTGTGACCAATTGAGCATACTGGCCTTGTTCAACCACATTACACATCAGATTATGAGCTCTTGCTCCCAAATTCTAAGGTCTGATCAGTGTAGTGCAGTATAAACCACAGGTTGGTTCTGTAAATATTGGAGAAACACAAATGTGCCTGAGTAGGCATCTGCAACAGGGATTAGTTGTACACCCTAGCAAATGGACACCATCAGAAATGAGCAGCCATTATTATTATTATTATTGAGAGAGTAGCATGCCAACAGTGATGCTAGGTTACAAAATATAAGAAAGCCAATATACTCATGATAGTTGGTCTAATAAGATTATACCAAGCACATGTATCACACCCTAAGATACACAATATGGCAACACAGCACATGACTTTGTAGGTGGGATCCAGTTAGAAATGCTTTCAGGTTGTGTAATCCAGTTTTCTCAAATTGTCTGAGAATGTTCCTAAATATCTAGACATGTCACCCAAGTCACCTTGGCTGCCTCAGCCTTTAAACTTAAAGAGCAACCCCCTGGATACCCAAACATGATTCTCCCCAACTACTCCCACTTAGCAAAAGTGTACAGTGTGTCAGCCCCTAAGGAGCATTCCCAACTGGTTAAAAGACAAAGCATTCATATTAACACCTCCAATCAGTTAAGATCAAAAGCCACAAGAGCCATACCTGGTGTAGTGTTGGAGCATTTATTATTTTTGTAACATTCATGTTGATAACTTTTGAGTTTTTGTCTACAGCAGTTTTAGAGAATGAATTGCTGCACTTGAGAGTATTTCTGGAATCAAAATTAGCACCGTTAGAATTCTGGTTATAGTTGACTGTGGGTGAGAAGAAAGTAATCCTATCCTGAAGAAAGCAATCCCATATACATTTATTTTAGTCACTACCATATCATTAATGTAGATATTAAACCATTGTTTACATTTGTACTATATAAGTGTTTCTCGACATTATAGAAGTAATTTCTTAATCTTTAAAGAAAAAAATGTACTAATGACCATTTGAATGATTTTGTGCACAGTAGACCAATGTTTCTAAAAGAGTTTTTTTTTTTTTTTTTTTTTTTTTTTTATCAGTCATTTGAAGCTTTGTATATAAGGTTTATGATTAGTCATTTGTAGGAGAGTATATGCTGGTAATATAATGGTTATGAACATGGAACAGGGTTACTTAAAACAACATGTTTGCAAGTAATTAAAGTTTAACCCACTGAACTATAATGCTTACATAGCTAACCCTCCAAAAGAATTACACCATTGAACATATCAGCTGTTTATATGAGCAACTTTTTACTGGACATATGTGGGTTTTCACTGTTGATTGATTACGCAAGCAGTTCTGAAATAGGGAGTTTGGGATGGAGCTGCTCACTTCTTATTTTCCAGCCTTGATAGATTTTCAAAATTGTTTACACGGCCTTGTCGGGTAAGACTTATTTTCCACCCTGCAGTCTCTATCGTATAGATGCAATGTTGCAAACCTATTACACTATTTATTTTCTTGGCAGATTTTCATATAAGCTCTATTTATTTTATTTTTTTATTTTTTTTTTTTTTTGTGTTAGTTCAATCCATTCGGACATTTACAGCTAGGGGATACTTCCACGGAGGAAAATCACACTCATTTCCTCCTTCCTCCATATTCCAAATATAAGGGGAAAAGTTCACTCAGACAGCCCCCACCCCCACACACTCAGGAACTATTACTTCATGGAACAGACTCCCATTTGGATGCTTTCCTAAATGCAACAATCTTAACTTCTTTGTGTCAAGGGTCAATACTTATCTACCACCCCTTATCTTCATAATATTCACTTACCACTTTTGTTTATATCATGCACCATGAATCTATAACATTTTAACAATAACCTTCTACCTTAAGTGGCACTCTAGCCTTGTACTAGTTGAACTTTAGTACTAAAAAATGTGAAATTTACCTGAAATATCCAAGGATAGTGATTTGTAAAGTAGTCAGCTATTGTGATTCAAACGGTTAATGAATGCAAGAAAGATATTTTCATATCTCAAGAAAAAAGAAACCACTTTGAACAACAGAAAATTAAATGATAAAGTGATAAGGATTTTTTTGTTTATCAATTAAATGTTATTAAAATCTGATCAAATATTGATCATCACCAACAAATATCTAACTGTTCATGGCAATATTTTTCTCGAGATGTCTATTTGCAATTTACTTACTAAAAAAAATATCTATATTTTTTCTGTGAATAATTGGAACCATATGACACAAGTTTAAAAAAAAAAATGTCATTTTATGGAAGTACAAAAGGGTTAAAAATTATTCATTTTAACTTTTAATATTTAAATTGTCTTTTCAGGAGTCCATTGACAGCCTCTTCAACAAGGAGGAGATGGGCCAGGCCTACTCCCACCATGATCTACCCACAGCTCACTATACTCCAACCGATGGGGTAAGCTTCATCCTTGATCCTTCTAAACAAAGAACAAGCCAAGACACAATTCACATCGAGACACCAGTTCGCCACCGGAGGCTGGGACCAAATTACCACTCTAGTAATGCTCACAAGCCTTCTGCTGAAACAGCTTGTGCTAGCGCCAAAATGGTTTTGTGTGACCAAAGTTTGGAAAGTTCTAATGGAGGGGACAGTCAATCACATGACCTAGCAGATGATAGCAGTATCAGTTCCTATCCAAGATCTGTTACTTCATCTCTGATGGGAAACTATAGTCCTCGGTCATTACGGGAACGTAACCTAGTGCTTGATGGTGGTACTGACCACTTGAGTGAAAACATCACAAATGTGATACCACATGATGGTTCTGAAAAGTCCTTCAAAGATGTCCTGCGTGATAATCTTGAGAATGATGACATCGGTCTGAGCAAAGATCTTAAGGGCAGTAGTGTTTTGCTGACACCCCCCTCAGAAGAGGACTCTCCCTCACTGCCTCACAGGTCAATTCTCCGGCAAAGTTCTTCTGTTGATGATGACTATGATGATGATTATGACTATGAGGTGAAATCGGAGAACTACCGGAATTTGAACCTTCCTCTCAGAGACCTGGATGTTGATGAATATTCTGATGCCTTCAGTCCGTTGTCTCGAAGAGACTGGAGTTCAGCTGATGAGGACAGCAGGGATTCGTTATCTCCTCTCTCCCCAACCTTACTGTCTAGTCCTGACCAACTTCCACATGCTTTAAGGCACAGGCTTCGAGAATATAAAAGTGCATCACCAGAGTCAGGCAGATCCGGCACCCAACTCGCAGACTGGACCATGAACCCCGACCCCTGTATGCGCAGCAGCAGCAATGTGGTTCTTGAACGCTGTGATAGCATAGATTCTTCGATTGCAGAGATAATCACCAGCGCTCCTCAGGAGATTGAAGAAATACAAGCTCAAAGATTCCATGGCATTGAAGATGAACTGCAAGACCTGACCAGCGAAATGGATGAATTGATGTCAGGTTTGTCGAGCTTAAAATCAAAGTGTGCTCGAGTGGAAAACAGCCCTGATGATGATGACGACTTGCAGTTGGACAGCCCTACACAGGGCCAGTCACTCCTTTCAAGGCAGGCGTTCGATGTGTTGCAGCGGGCCCGCAGCCGCTGGGAAAGAAGAGCTTCAAGCCTGACTCCAGAGTCTGGCATTGATGACTTTCATTCCCAGACTTTAGAACCTGCCCTGTCATTGGATATGGCTGGTGACAGACTAGAGGGTTATTCACGTAACAATGAATCAAATCTTTTAAGTTCTTCATGCTTTAAATACGTACCTTTCTCTGTTGACTCTGACAATAATTATGATCCAAACAGCGATATTCTTTATCTTAATAATCAAAGACAATACTCCAGTCATGAGGGTAAGTAAACAAATTCTTTACTTTTTCTTTTTGTTTACATACCAATCACTCTCTGATCTTGACTATAAGTGTTGTCAAGTGATGTTCAGTGAATACAATCTCTCGGTTATCAAATATCATACACGTTCTTCTGGTCTGTCATTTAGATTACCTACATTCTGTTGATTTGTAAATTCTAATGCATTTCTTTCTCCCCAGTTATAAATAATTGTTTAACTATTGATCAGTTTTATGGGAGCAATTGTATTAAAAAAATATCTGTATATAATATGCACTTGATAGCTATCACTTCAGTATCAGTAGAATATTACACAAGGCCAATTTAATGTCAAGGCCTGTATATGAGCAATCAGAAAAGCTGCCCACTTTCCATGACCTATGCCCTGAAGACATCAGAATACTCTGTCCTTCGTCTTTTATGTGACAGGGAGGTGCTGCTTTGGGGTTGGAATCCCTAGTACCAAACCATAAACTTTTTTGTTTTTGCACTATGTCCTGTCTGAAGATAAGAACACTACTGCATTCTACTGAAAAATGGAAAAAATAACTGAAAGAAAGGAACAGATACTATACTTTGATCCCAGTCTTTAGGCAAGCAAGAAACCTATACAAATATAATTGGTTCTGGAAATTTCTTAAGTTCAAATTTGTTGTTTTGTAAACAATTTAAGCTATTAGTTATACACAGATTGCCATATTTACCCTTTGAACCCAAGCGGTTATTATACCAGCTGTTGTGTGAAAGTGCATGTATTGTAATCATAGGTTGGGGGAGGGGGGTCTCTCGGGGTTCAGAGGGTTAATTTATTATTTGTTAATTTTGAAAATGGTTTAAGTTCAAATTTAACATGCAACTTTTACAAAATGATTCCTGTACTATCAAAATATAATGGCTATATTTAAATCTTGATATTTTTAAATATAGTGAATTACACAATTTATATTGTAAACTGTTCTACTCATTCTAACTTTGCTTTAAAAAAAAATACAAGTGTCACTAGTGGTGTTTGAGTACTGATAACAGTCATTCGATGGTTGAACAGCTGACAAAATGGACCTTGGTCTTTGTGAAATTTATGTCTCGGGCATTGCTATATTAACTGTTGATGATTTACAAGAAAATAAAAATAAATAAGTCGAGCAACAGAACAAAAAAATGTTGAAAGTCTCTGCATACAATAATCCTACTAAGCAAATAAATAGTATGAAAAAAAATAAACGTATCAAGTGAAAAGAGACTAAAAGATCAGAACGTGTGTTGCTGACTTAGGAATTACTTTATACTTTCTATAGGAAATTTAATCCAGCAAGGATTTGAAACCATGAACACTAGAAAATCAGTATTTTCTCAATGCCTGTTGTATTATTTTGTTTATTCTTTGATATTTTCTTAATGATAGGTATGTGATTGTCTCTGAAATCTTTTACTTGTTCAATTTTTTTTTTTTTTTTTTTTTTTTTTAACAAAACTCAAAAGGTTAATTTGCATGTATCAGACCTATGTCTAAAATTGTATAGTTCTTCTTTTAATTTATAAATTATCTTCCTAAACACATTAAACTTCTGACATGATTTTAGAAACTGAATATTGTCAAATATTTTTTATAATAGTTCTTTAAAAGATGATTTTTTTTTTTTTACAGAAAGATTATTATTGCACCCCACCCCAAAAACTTTCAGATATTTTTTTTATTAAATTAGGTTACAAATTTAAATTGAACTTCAACACTTGAATTTTTTTGAAAGCCATACAAAAGAAATAACGGCACTTAATCTAGATCTTTAGATCGATCAGACTTTCAATTCTCTGATAACCAGTCTTTGCTATATCTTACCTACAAAACCCTTTTCATACTATATTTGCTATGCATTAGACATCAATCAAGCAACCTTTTACTCCATCTGTTATCTTTTCTTTTTGTGTGTCTTAACTCCATTTTTGCCAAAACTCATTTGTATATCCATCTTGATCTCTTATTCATGATTACCTCTTTTTATCTCTTAGAGTTGTCCATAGCATTTCATATTCTGTTGATCTTGGTGCATTTCTGAGTTGTTTTTTCCCCTTAATTATACACTTAGGTTTTAAACAAGTTGGGAAGATGTTTTTCATTGTATCTATTCTTATGAAGAGCTTTTGACCCTATCATTCAACATTGTAGTTTCTTTAAGGTCGATGGTAGATGTATTCTTGGACGTCTTCCCATTCTTCTTCATCTAATTTTATGATCTTTTTTGAAACCTTATAATTTAAGATTAGTTTTGTTTATTTCTGTTCATTTTTAACCCATTAGTATTCAACACTCTCAAATCCACCCCCATAAAATATCAGCTCTCAAAGTTTCACTATTTGTGTGACTTCCTGAATTATTTGCAATGATGTTGTTCCATATTATACATGAGGCGAGTTGAACATTGAGAACCATTATTTATGGGGTGGTTGAATACTAGAGGGTTAAACTAACATTAAAACATTCCCTATTTAAATCATCTAGCATCTCTTGTAATTCAGTCAATGGTCCTGATATTAGTAAAACATTATCAGCAAATTGTACATGATTTAGTCTCCATTTATGTTTAACCTCTTTTTTTTTTTTTCTTTCTGTCTTTAAAAGTTATTTCCAAGACTAATTTCAATTTAGATAAAATCCCAACTCCTTCCTTTACCAATCTATATCTGTGTCTTTTTGTAGTCAAAATGTCAAGTACTACTATCATTGTATTTATTTGTAATGTATATTGATGAAAAAATAAAATTGCAACGAATGTTTCAGTTTACTCAAGATCAATATGTTCACAAGTTCTTAAAATAAGTGTATCAACTATGCAGGCTCCTTACAATTACACTGTATATCCTCTTTGGGTGTTAATACAAGTCTGTACTGTTCCATGTATATGATGATGCTGACAGCACTTAATATTCTGTAAGACATCATTCTATACTTCTTGCATCAGTTGATGAATTGCAACTGAATTGTTGTCCTATCCATGTTCAATGTGGTAGGTGGGGGTATCAGTTTGAGCCATTGTGATATCCAGGGAAATGGTTAAACATTTTGCAGAGTATGTTGAGTGCCATGGGCATCATATGGGCAGGCATTATTCAGCTAGAACAGAACATCACCTTCCTGTTGTAGGAATAGCAGAAGAGTAGGTTGAGTAGTGTTCTGGACATACATTTCTGCCACAAACACCAAAGGTGAGTGATACTTGTTACTTATATCACCCTACATCATGATGCCAGAGATTGAACCTGTGTGTCATAGGAAAATACACTTTGAAAAATGTTTCTCCTTATATCTATATTATACATGCAAATGACCATCACTAGCATGATCTCATCACTGAGCATTATAGAGTGTGTTTCAGTCCCCCAGGGGACCCTTAGTAAATGCAAATCTGACTAGAGATATGTGTTATCATGCTCCTTCTGCCAGTAAACAATTTTAACCATGTTGCCATCCATGGGGTCAGATTTGCTTTGATCTTTACTGTGGGCATCATGTGGTCTGCTACTGGTGCCAATGGACTTCATCAACATCAGTGCACTGGTACAAGTATTACTATAACTGTCAGATAGTATTATGCAAGTCAAGGTTTTTAGAATAGAATTGACATAATCAACTAATGTTGTTAACATTTTTCAGGATATGTATTTTAAATAGACAATAAGAATATCAGTTTGTAATATCTATTTTTATTGAAAATATTTAAAATAGCTTATTGATGGTGTGAGATTTTATTACACAATTTGCAATATTATCATAATAATCCTCACCTTATGGCCATATAAAGTATTGAACACGGTGTGCTAGTGGTAACAAAACAATGTTCAATGTATAGTAAGAGCTAAAATGTATATGCTATTAATAAATATACATTTTTTTTTTCTTCACTGTTAGATAACTCTGAGATTCATGTTGTAAAATTTAAATATTGATATTTATAACCTACTGTTATGACATTGGAACAGTCCATTTATTTACTAATGGGGGGAGATAAAAAAAAAAAAAATGTATTTGGATGTAAGTGTATATAGTCCACTCACCTGTGTAAATAAGTAGACTGCTACACTATCATAACAATAGGTTATAAATATCAGTATTTAAATATTACAATAGTTAGTTTACAATCTGCACCTGACAATTGTGTTGTACTTGAAATTTAGTTTGCTAATGGTGAGGGGGGGTATATTTGTTTGTATATATATATATATATATATATAAATTAGTATTCTACTGTAGAAATTTATATAACAACTTAAGATAGGGACATGTTAATGTGATTTAATATTAGAATTTAGTTTCTGTTTTATGGTAATGAACCTGACTAATCCAACTTATGAATCTTCATTTTCACTAAAACCAAAATCCACATGGGATCAGTTGAAATATGTTACTTGATATTTTACTAATAAAATTTTATAAAAGTTTATACATTGAAAATTCTGCTTTTTTTTCTTTTCTTTTTATCTTTATGTAGTTCAACCTGAAATTCTGATTTATTTAAATAATTTTTTTTTTTTAAATTTATTGAAATTTTTATTTGATCAAAATACTTAATTGCTTCAAAACATTTACTTTAGTTTGGCAGCTAGGTAATTGCTTTCCTAAAGAATTCTTCAATCAAAGAACTGCCAAATTCATTGAAGACTTTGTGTTGATAAAAAAAATTACTGCTTGTTTGGAAGTTGTATATATTCTTACTAAAAAGGTAGTCTGTAGAAGTCAGGGTTCAATAGTCTCCATTTTTAACTGATTCAATTTTACTAATGCCATCTGTGCTGTATAAGGTCAGACATTATCTCCTAACAAAATGATTCCTTAAGATTGGATTACCCAAGATTATATAATAAATATCTATGTGTGTTAGTAGATTGGCATATTTGAAGGAGGCTGTGATATACCAAATCACTCCAGTTACATAACATAATCTTCCAGTGGCTGGTGTTGAGAATATATCTATTGAATGCTTTCAAATTGGTCTTCACTTTGCAAAGT